GTATGGGCAGCCCAGACGCCCACCTCTTTGCTCCTCCTTGAGCATCTCATAGGTTAGGGGGATGGCCGATGTGGTGGGAGTGAAGAGGTTTGGACAGTGTGGTTCATGGTGTCCAGGGAAGACCAGCTGTGGTCGTGGTTGTGGGCTGTCGTCAGGTGCCCCTCCTTTGCCTGATAGTTTGGATTTCTCTGGCTCTTGGTTTTTTAGTACTCATTCTTTTACAGGTGAAGAAATTGAGACCAAGAGGGTTATTTGCCAGAGTGTCTCATCATTGGCTGCATAACTGACATTAGAATCTTGATGTACTTCTATTTCTTATATACGATTGCTTTTTTTTTTTTTGGTGTGTTTTGTGTATTTTTTTTGAGTAATGGAGATCTTCCGTGGCGCCTGCTTTTGCTCTGAGACTCGGATGGGTGTGTATTGGGTTAAATAAGTTTATGTGTTTGATAGTGGTTTGGATTTGTGTGGCGGGGGACGTGTGCTCGGTGGTCAATCTTGACTCATTGAATCTCTCGCAGTTCAAGCCTATCCCTGTCTCAGCCTCCCAAGGTAGCGGGTACTACAGGGTGGAGTGTAGTGGCACGATCATAGCTTACTGTAACTGTGTAACCTCGAATTCTTGGGCTCAAGCATTCATCCCACCTCAGCTTGCTGAGTACCTGGCCTGGGGCTACAGGTGTATATCACCATGTCCAGCTAATTTCTTTTTTTTTTTTCCCCCTCCAGAGACAGGATCTTGCTCTGTTGCCCAGGCTGGTGTCGAACTCCTGGGCTCAAGTGAACCTCCTACCTTGGCTTTCCAAAGTGTTGGAAGGGATTACAGGCATGAGCCACTGCACCCAGCCTCCTCTTTCTTCCCATTTAACTCCTAACCACACCGAACTTTCTGTCTGCAGAGAGGAGCATTGGTCAACAGTTCACAAAATGGCTAGGCATGATGGCGTGCACCCATAGTCCCAGCTACTTGGGGAGCTCAGGTGGGAGGATCGCTGGAGCCTGGGAGTTCAAGGCGCTGGGCAACACAGCAAGATGTCATCTCTGGCCCGGCCTGGTGGCTCACACCTGTAATCCCAGCACTTTGGGAGGCTGAGGTGGGTGGATCACCGGAGGTCAGGAGTTCAAGACCAGCCTGGCCAACATGGTGAGACCCCCATGTCTACTAAAAATACAAAAATTAGCTGGGCACAGTGGCGCGCTCCTGTAATCCCAGCTACTCGAGGGGGCTGAGACAGGAGAATCGCTTGAACCCAGGAGGCAGAGGTTGCAGTGAGCCAAGATCGAGCCACTGCACTCCAGCCTGGGTGACATAGTGAGACTCTGTCTCAAAATAAAAGAAAGTCATCTGTACTATTGCATGTTACTCAGTAGTTTCTTTCTCTTTATTGTTGAGTAGTAGTCTATTATATGCATGTACCAGTTTGTTCATCTACTGGTGGACATTGAGTTAGCAGGTTTTGGCTATTAAAAATAAAACTGGAGGCCAGGTGCGATGTCTCACGCCTATAGTCCCAGCACTTTGGGAGGCCGAGGCAGGCGGATCATCTAAGGTTGGGAGTTTGAGACCAGCCTGACTGACATGGAGAAACCCCATCTCTACTAAAAATATGAAGTTAGCCAGGCGTGGTGGCGCATGCCTGTAAACCCAGCCAGGAGGCTGAGGCAATAGAATTGCTTGAACCCGGGAGGTGGAGGTTGCAGTCAGCTGAGATTGCACCATTGCGCACTCCAGTCTGGGCAACAAGAGCGAAACTCTTGTCTCAAAAAAAAAAAGAAAGACAAAAATAAAGCTGGTGTGAATATTTATGTACAGGTTTTGTGTGAACATACGATTTTATTTCTCTTGGTTGGCATGCATGGAAATGAGATTGCTGGGTTTTGTGGAAAGTGTTTATTTTTCCAGGGTACATATAATCCTGTGAGTGTTTATTTAATTTTAAAAGTAATTGCTAAACTGTTTGCTAAAGTGACTGTACTATATTTTCTTCCCCTAACAGTGTATTAATTTTTTTTTTTTTTTTTTTAAGCGTTTAAAGGTTGTTATTTTAGCAAGAGCAGTTGGTTTTTTGTAATTGTTCAGGGGTTTTTAGCATTATTCACAGGGACTTGTGGGCAACCAATCACTCACCAGTCAATTTTTAGAAACATTTTCATCACCCAAAAAAGCAAAGCCTTTGCAACCATTTTAGGCAGGTTTTTCCACTTCTCTTCTATTCTCATTCCGGGTTTAAGTTTTGCTTTGGACTGCCAAAAACAAAGGACCCACCAAAATACTGGGTGGCTTTGAGAATAAATCAGGGAATAATGTTCGCCGGGCGCTGGTGGTCTCAAGCCTGTTATATTCAGCCACTTGGTTGGAGCCGAGACGGCGGGATCCACAGAGTCAGGAGATGGACGGACCATTCCCTGCTAACATGGTGAAACCCCCGTCTCTACTAAAAAATATTTAAAAATCTAGCCGACGAGGGCGGCGGTGGCTGGGCGTCTGTAGTCCCAAGCTACTCGGGAGGCTTGAGGCAGGGAAACGAAAGGCGTTTGAACCCTGGAGCGGCAGCTTGGGCAAAGTGATGCTGAGATCCCCGGCCACTTGCACGTCCCAGTCTGGGCGGACAAAAGCTCGAGAACTCTTCTCAACAAACAACAAAAAAAGGAAAACAGAATGGTTTTCTCTCGGCAAGTGCCAGGGCTGGTGAAGTCCGAGCATTCAATCAGGGTCGGGTCGGCAGGCTGTCGGCTTTTTTTTTTTTTTTTTTTTTCGTTTGAGATAGAGTCTCCAACTTTGCTTCCAGGCTGTGAGTGCGAGGGGCAATCTTGGGCTCACTACTAACCCTCTGGCCTTCCCAAGGTTCAGCAATTCTCCATTGCCTCAGGCCCTTTCCCGAGGTAAGCTTTGAGATTGCAAGGTGTGTGCCACCACGCCCTGGCTAAATTTTTTGTATTTTTTAGTAGGGAGGACAAGTGGTTTTCCCCCAATATTGCAAGGCTGGTCTGGGAATTCTTGACTTTCAAAGTTGATCCACCCACCTTGGCCTCGCCAAATCTTTGCGGGGGGTTACAGGGCTTTGAGCCACCATTTGCCCAGTTGAGGGTGTTGTTTCTTGAGGGCTGAAAAAGAATCAGTTCCAGGTCTGTGATCCAGCACTTTTTTGGAGGCGAGGCAGAAGGATCATTTAAGGTCAGGAGTTTGAGACCGGCCTGGGACATTGGTGAAACTCGTCTCTACTAAATACAAAAATCTAGCCGGGGCGTGGTGGTGCCACCACCCTGTTCATCCCAGCTACTCAGGGAGGCTGAGGCAGGAGGATCACGCATGAATCCGGGAGGCAGGGGAGGTCGCTGCAGGTTGCCGAGATCGTGCCATGGCACTCCAGGGTTCCGGCGGGACAGCACGCGGACGACGCCATCTCAAAATAAATAAAATAATAAATATAAACATAAATAAATAAATCCAGTCTTCAGGCCTCTCCTTCTGGGGCTTCTGCGGGTGTGCTGCGCGAGTTTGCGTGCCCTTCGGTTATGTAGAGAATGTTCACCCTGAACCCTGATCTTGCCTTCGCCTCTGCATGCCCCTCATTTTTTTTTTTTTTTTTTTTTTTGAAGACGAGTCACGCTCTGTATCGCAAGGCTGGGATCGGTTGCCGTGGCCGGATCTTTCAGCCTTCACCTGGCAAGGCTCCGCCTCCCAGGTTCACGCCATTTCTCCTGCTCAGGCCTCGGCGAGTAGCTGGGGAATAACAGGCGCCCGTCCACCTCGCCCGGCTTAATCTTTTTTAATGTTTAGGGGAGACGGGGTTTCACCGTGTTA